GAAAACTCCTAACATGAAACCCAAACGTCCCATGACACAACTTCAGACCATTCCCTGTGGTCCTGCACTGGTCACACAGGGCAGAGATCAGTGCCTGCTCCTCCTCTTCTCCTCACGAGGAAGTTGTGACTGCAATGAAATCACCCTTCAGTCTCCTCTTCTCCAGGCTGAACAAGCCAGGTGCTCTCAGACACTCCTCACACCACTTCCCCTCAAGGCTCTTCACCATCTTCATTGCCCCTGATTTGGACAACAACAGGTGCAGCCAGTGAAGATAAGAACTGTTTCTCATTCTTTTCTCTGATCTTTTCACAGCCTTCCCCAGGACAATGCCTGGGAAAGTTGTGCCTGTTGTTCTCTGTGGCCAGAGAGCTGCAGCCACAGGTTTGTGCTGTCACAGAAACTCTGAAACCTGAGGTCAAAGTCCTGGCATGCAGCACACTGGTGCAACCCAGCAGCTGAAGATTAGAGCTGCAACTCCAGCAGTGATGCAGCAAGAGTGGAACACTGAGAGCTCTGTTATCTGCCTTGCTTTTACATATTAATAGAATGGGAAGAGCCTGCTTATCTTGCAGCAAAAAAGAAGAAAAGGAAAGCAGAACTTCACAACTCCTTGAAGGGGCACCACTTTTGCCATCTATGTGGTTCTAATAGAACCTGCTGCACTGAGACAGCTTTTAGGAATACCCATTTCTTAGCTGCCAAGTCACTAAAAGCCAAGTCAATAACTCCCAGTGGATCACAGCACAGATATTAGTTGTGCTAAGAAAACCTTTTTGAAGTTTTGATTCTAAGAAACAGAAAGCAGGACACAACATATCACCTAAACTATGCCTTAGATTGAAGGATTGAGTCTCAGGGGGTACACAAAGTGGGGTTTAATTACCATAATTGCAGAAGCATTTTCATGTTTTCACTTGTCTGCCATAACAAACCCCCCTTGCGTAGCAGTCAGGGCTGTGGTCAGGTCCTGTGTAAGGATATTTTTAGAGGTTAGAGCTGTAAGCCAAAAGCCATCGTAATTCACCAGTGCCAACCTTCCCTCCAAGGTAAAATTTGGGAAATAGGACAACACAGCTGCTGGAATGGCTCTGTGTTTTGGGAGACACCATCTTGTGAATGAGATATGCAACTGGAAGTTGGTTTTTGACTGCATAGCCAAAACCTATGGCCTAAAACTGTGGGGAGCAAGCATCAGCCTGCTCACAAAGTGCCCATCAGTAGAAATAATTATACAGAGCAATTGACAATTGACTTTCTGTAACATTTTTAAAGCATTTCTACAACTATGATATAGCACAAGAACCACAGGACTTCTCTAGAACTCTCAAATAATAAGACCAACAGCAACAAGATAGAACAGGGAGGTACTTGGTCAAAATTTGAGCATAATCTGCAATGTTATATTAACACACTTCTGTGAGCAAGACTTGTCTTTATTCCTGAAGCTGTTAAATTTCTTTTGCTTTCAATACCTGGTGCTGCCTTTCAAGCTGTGCACAGAGCCCTCTTCTGGAGAAATTTGAACAAATAAAAGCTTAAGAATGCAGCAGTGTGGGCTCTGCATTAGGGGAAAGAGTTTGAGGACTAATTTTCTCTATTCACTCTAATGACAAGCTTGTAAAATCTACACATTTTTCCAATTTACTTGGTTGCAACCCAGTGAAACGTGACAGTTATTGTCAAAATTATCAAAAATGCAGGGGGTTTTCCTCACCCTGTAAGCCTTACTTACAAATTTTGAGTCCTCTCTCTGCATGAAAGGCATGACATAAAAAGGAAGCCTGTGAACAACTTTTGGTGTAAAACAAATATTTTATATGCAGATTTTAGAAACTACCCTTTGGGGAAAATGTAAAACACAGATTTTTAATTCTATCAGATCAGAGTATGCATTTACTGCTTACTGTACCGTGAACTGCATAAGCTACCAGAGTACATTTAGTTTTTATTGTCAGCTTCAGATCAATAAAGCTGTATATTATAGTTATGCTTTGGAGTTTTAAAGGTGAGTCTGAATTAAAGGATTACTTGAAACATCTCTCTCATTTATCCCAGCTAATGCTCAGTTTTCCTCTTTGTGAAAACAGAACAGTTGGTAGTAGTGTAGACTAAATCTTTGCAAAAGGAAAAATTCATTTAATGCTCACTGTTTACCTCAGTTTTTGCATACATACTTAATGAGCTGCTTTGATATGAAAAAGTGCTTTTCCATCTTCATCCTTTTAATGCCTCAAAAGGCAAAGTTTTTCTTCTTTAAAAACACAGTTGAATTAGAGGCAGACCAAGAAAACACAAAAGCCAAGTTACTAATTTTAGAAATGGGTTTTTCATTAAGAATAAACGTTTTACAATCCAGGTTCCTATTGACATAAAAGAATTTCCTCAAACTTTTTTCTCTACACTGCAAACTTTGCTGTCATTACTTTGAAACTAAGTTATCACTATCTTCTGCTTCCACAGCAAGATTACTAGATTGCTTCTGCTTAGAAAGAATTCTATCAAACTTGGTCCTTTCTGGTTCCACTAGCATTGCATTATATGAGACATTCTTGCTACTCCTAAGGGAGAAAAAAAGAAAACATGCAGAAAAAGATCCCCAAATGTGTTACAACCACTACACAAGCAGATGGCTGCATTTGTTTAATATATTGTTTCTCACATTCTTCTGTTTACTCTTCCTGTCACATGAAAGTTGTGCATGTGGGGTGTCAAAGAGAAAAGCCAAACAGTGTTTCAGTAAATCCCATTTCTTTCCCTAGCATGGCACCCACTCCAATTCATACTTTTGCCTGCCAATACTCAACAACCTAGACCTGCAGTCAGAATTACATACACTTCCATATTACAGTCTGATTCATTCCCCAATTCATTAACTCTTAGACATGAACTGGAAAGTAAACTTGGACATGCACTAGCTCACATGGTGGAGAGAGACATGACCAGAGAGAGCTGTACAAGCTGAGAAAGAAGGTGGAGTGCAATTTGAGCACTTCACCTGCAAGCAAGGGTAAAGCACCAAGCTCAGCCCTGCAGTACACAGAACTCATCTCAGCCCAGCCTGGGGAGAACCTCTGGAGCATCACTGAAAGTCATCAACAAAAACAAGAGGGTGTTTTCAGAATCGGGTGTCTGCACCTTGTCAGATTTTTAGTCATTAATGTTAAAAAAATGCCAGCTATGTTTCATAGGCCCTAGAAGTCCATCCTCTTGTATCACATGCATTCTGCTTTCCTGCAAGCGACCACTAAAGGAAATCCCAACTCAAGATTATTAATTCAGCGTTGTGTTAGAGAAGCTGTACCAAAAAAAGACTGAAAACAGAGAGAAAGCCAAGCAAAGCAGATGGGAGGTCTCAAAGCCAAGATGAGAGCACCAGTTCAGTACATCCACAGGTTACCCTTCCACTGCCTGTGCCCTCTCTCTCCCCCAGCATTGCCTCCCCTGCCAGCCCAGGCTGGATCTCAGCCCACTTGTGACAACTTCTTGTCCCCAGGAGCCCTCTGGGTTCCCCCAGCCCACGGGACAGTGCTCAGCCCTCCCTGGGCAGCAGCTTGGCCACTGTCCTGGGCCAGTCCCAGCAGAGCCAGAGGCTGCCCTCAGACACTGCCAGGGAGCCCAGCCCTGGCTGGCAGAGTGGCCCTGCCAGGAACTCTCCATGTGGCACCAGCACATGCTGCTCAGCACCAAACCCATGGCCCAAGGCAGCTGCTTTCATTTGTTCCACTCCCGGGAGCAGGGCTGGTATCCCGAACCCACCCAAATGCCTTTGTGCTTGCTCACTCCCAGTCCCAGCCACCGAGCCTCCGCTGTCCCACAGCTCCAGCCACCCACGTCCCTGCCCTGACTCCTGACCAGGTTAAACCAGGACCTGAGTGCCCAAACCTTGATCCACAGCATGTGGATCACCCAATTGCCTCCTCCTAACACTCTGTGCAGCTGCTCTGGCAGTAAAGCTCTGCCAGTTGTGATCCCTCACCGTTTTCCTCCTTATTGCCCTCTTTGGGATTAGCAGACCTGGTGGAGACTGCAGTTACACAAACACGGGGGGGTCAAGCTCAGAGTCCCAAGCACTTGTTTGACACTAAACCCCACCAACCCTCCAAGGGTTAACAAACCCACTCGATCCAAAAAGGAATTAACTTTCATCCCTGCAGAGGATCTCAGCCCACTGTCACCAAACGCAAGTTTAGGAGCCCCCGAGACAGAAGGAGGGAGAATGCACTTAAGCTGGACAACAGCAAAGGATTTCCAGCCCTGCTCTGAGCTGCCCAAAAGTGAGCCCTGTGACAGCAGCGAGAGGAAAAGAGAGTGACCAGCTGAGAAGTGAAAGCCCAGCGAGTCCCCGTGCTTTGACAGGCAGCAGCAGCGGGGCTCCGGCAGCTCCGTGTTTTTAAGGCTGGGTGTTTTTTCCTCTGCTTTCTGGCAGAGGGGGATCTATTACATTTAATAAGAGAAAGGCTACACAGCAAGTCACTAACGGAGTGTTACACATCTATCAGGAGAGTACGGCGAAGGGAGCCTTTTGCAAGGTCTGATTTTATTTTTCCTCCATATTCCCCCTCTCCAATTCTTTTATTTAAAAAAAAAACAAAAGCAGTAAATAGCTTGAGCTGCCTGTAACAGTCTATAAACCTACTACCCAGCACAAGGCACAGAGAACAGAGGCAAATCAAAGTTGCAGCATTTGATATGACAGAAAATATTGCCGCTGCAGCTGCAACCGAGACACTTGAAAGATTCCCCCCACCACCTTTCCTGAAGGGAAACAAAAAAATGCTATATATCACACGGCAAATTGGTTGTAATTGTAAATCAGGGAGCTATGAGATCCTGCATTCCTAGCAACTGGCTTAGAGCAGAGATCCTGCATCTTTAAACAGTAATTCAAGCAATGTATAATTACTCAGAAATCAGAGCTGAATTACAAATACTTTCAAATCCAAATGCACAAAAGCAGAAAGATGAAAGAAAGCAAGGAAAAAACACACATTTCTTACCTGGGACAGCAGAAAAGACAGAGTAAGTTGAGTTTTGTGCTGCATTTTGCCAGACTAGAAGGTACCAGAGGCTTTTTCATTCATGCACTCGGCTGCACTGAGCATATTTTCACTGTGAAACAGCCTTTGAGAAGAGACTCTGCCTTGAGAGCCAGCCAACTTCCCAAATAGATCAGCAGCATCATCACTAAAGCATTGGATAGAGTCTGATGACCAGAACCAATGGCTTTACAAGGATGATTTCTTCACAAAGCATCCCCATTTTGCATCACACATATTGAGCAAGCACCTCTACAAACACAGCACCTTTAGAAAGCATTTTTGCTTTGGTGTATTTCTGTGTTTAGTTTTAATCTAACATCATGCTTTACATATCTCAATAGTATTTTCCCTTTTAGAGAATGGAATTGAACAGAAAGAAATAAGAGCAACTCTGAGCACCACTGCAAAGAGATTTTCTTTATTAAAATGTTAATAAGGTAAACTTATTTTTAATAATTTTAAAAAAATGACCTCTGCAGTTTTGGTTACTTCCAAGCCTTAGAAAGAGAACACAATGAAATTTTTCAGTGCAGTAGAAATACAGGTTATATTTTGTGTTTTCCCCTCAATCTCACAAACCACAACCAAGACAGATCCATTCTAGCCTGCAGAAAAAATGCATCATAAGGCAATAGATTTTATTAACTGCTCAGGTAATGGCAGAATTGGCTTTTAATTCAACAAACTAGAATCTAGGACAGAGTTTCAAAGGTGCACGTCCTTCAATTAGAAAAAGTTTCCTGTTTGAAAGAGGGGACCTGCTTTCTCTGGATTGGTTATGTTGCAGCCCAGCAAGCAACACAGGCAGATGGACCAAAGATTAGGAATGAATTCCCCTGAGTGCGTTTCCAACTCCTCCTCCCTTGCCACTCCCCAGTATACAACACTCCAGTCTTTTTCTGAGTTGTCTCCTGGCAGTCACCAAGGTTACTTAGCAGTACCCTTCCCCCGTTTCTAGAAGGATCAAAAGTCTCCTCAGCTCTCATCAGTGATGTTTTTCCCTCACTTGCTCATCCAGCAGAACCAGCTGCCATCACTTTCTGCTCTGCCCCGCCACGGGTGGCTGCTGTGCTGGTGGAGATGAGAGGAAACGTGGGGAGGGAAAGGCAGGTAGGCAGATAGAAGGGATAAAGGAGCTGCCAACCACTTTGAGCTCCCCAGCATCAGCAGGAGCTCCCAGCTGTGAATAATGTTGTTTGATGCAACCACTGCTAGTCTACTGCTCAGAGCTTACATCTTCCTTTACATACCCACTGGACCAAAACTGAGGGAAAACACTGTCCCTCCAAGTCCAAACCCTCACAGGCAGCAATAACTCTCTTCCAGTACCTCCATTACACATGAGTTTAAATTAATACTCAAGTTGGAATAGAATCCAAACAAAACCTAGCAGGAACTACCAGCAGCAATAATAATGCTCTACATAGCCACAAAAGGTTCACTACTTAGATATCAAAAGGAAAAAAAAGCAGGTAGGTTGCTTTCTTTTTTGGCGTAGGCAGAAAGGCAGTTTTGCAGGGTAAAAAAAAAAAAAAAAAAAAAAAACCCTTTATAACTAGAAATACATTACTGGCCACCTCGCATTTCTCTTTGAGGGAGTCACTTTGCCACCAAATATAATTCCCAGCCTCAAGAGGAGCACCTAAGAATTTATAAGCCAGGCTGGATGGGGTTTCTAGGGCAAATCCCACAGAAAACAGCACCAGCCATTCCACAGTGTGCACAGCATTTGTATGGGGGCACTGGGATTTGGACATTCTTAACCCCACCAACGGGGCCAAACAGCTGAGTGAGTTACCAGACCAACCAGAAGTAGGTGGTGGCTGAAAGAAACAAAGGCATATCTGCATCCTGTTTTACAGGAAAGGCACTCATTTAAAAAAAAAATAGCAGTCAAGTCATGGGGTAGATGATTCACTGCAAGATAATGTGACATGAGATTTGAGCCAACATGAGCAGTTATTTTCTGTACAAGGCACAACATGGCTATGGGGCCATCCCAGCACAAGGGCAGAGAGGGGAACAAGGAGGCTGAGGTGTTCCCAAGGGTCCTGCAGGAGCATGGCCATCCCTACAGCCATGGCACCCCTCCACATCCTGAGGGGCAGGGCACCACAGCCTGGCACAAGGCAGGACCTGCCTCCCCAAAGGGCTCTCCCAGCAAAAAGAAGCCATATACCACAGCCCTTTACCTTCAGAAACAGCCAAGACCCTCTAGCAACAATTAAAGAGAAAATCATTTAATAAAAACCAAATTCATCAACATTTTACCTCCAGTTCCACAGAGCTTCTTCCTCCTGTTGCAGCCCGTCTCTCCTGCTTTGGCCTCTACTCACAGCTGCTCTTACTTATCCCCTAAAAGGGCAACTATTGATTCCTGGAGGGGTGATAACTATCCCTACAGGGGTAATTAACCATTCTTGGAGGAATAATTAACCATTCCTGGAGGGGCTAACCCTTCACAAGCCACTACCAAGCTCTGGCACAACATGGCGCCCAAGCGTGAGGGCGGCTGTGCCCATCGGCAGCGCTTACCCACAGGGTCCAGCCGCGCTGGGAAATGGCCTTTTGGCACTGCTCACCTGAGGAGAATTCCAGCTCAGACAATGCTCATCCACAGGGTCCAGCCGTGCTGGGAAATGGCCTTTTGGCACTGCTCACCTGAGGAGAATTCCAGCTCAGACAGCGCTCACCCACAGGTCCAGCCATGCTGGGAAATGGCCTTTTGGCACTGCTCACCTGAGGAGAATCCCAGCACACACAGCCCTGGTGCTGGGGTCCCCAGCAGAGAGAGGGGGGCAGCTGCTGCAGTCAGGTGTTTGACCCCTTGCAGGTGGGCCCCCAGCCTAGCTGTGTCTTCTGGGGTTAGGCACAGAGTCTTCTCTGTAATTATCTTATTAATGAAGGGCTGGTAGGCTATTAATTAGAAATTAATAGTTGGTGCCTCTGTTTCAGCTTTAGGTAATAGAAGGAGGTACAAACTCTACAGAACTTTACTAAGGAGGTGGACAGGAGGCAAGACTGCAGGTGGTGGAGCGTGGGCTCCCTCTAAACCCCAGCTTGGGGCAACATTGCTTCACAAATGAAATAAAGCCGAGGTGCCATGGAGCCACAGGAACAGAAATAACAGCCCCAGGTTTAAAGCATAATTAATGAGAGGGTCTAGACCTCCCCTTTTACAGTGAGCTGTGCTTTTCTTAACTGCAAATACAAAATATGTAGTAAGCTTAGGCAGTGACTGAGAGGGTCCTGGTTCGTGGCAAAGAAAGCTTCTGACAAGACCTTTTCTGATCCAAAACCATGCTAACTGATGGGTGTAATATGGTCTGTAGTCTTTAGACACAAAATGCCATCTTCTTCACTTATAAAATGTGGAGCAACTTGACACATCAGCTCAGTCCCTCTCCATGACATTCTCTGGCCACAGGGGAAATGCTGAGCTGAGGCTAATGTGAACAGCAGTAATTGCCTGCAAAACACAAGGATTTTTTTCTGAGACAGACCCATTAGCAGATGAGGGAGTGACTGCGTGCTGCCAGAAATGCCTTTTGACCTTCAGAAGATTTGCCCTATTTCGTAAAAGCTGAGGATCAGCTGCCATGAATCTATCAGTACAAGGGGAGTTTAATTTCCCATTAAAGTGGGTCACATGAGAACCTGGATGTGAGAGAGGGGGACTAATTTCACCTGCTGTGGTACTGACAATTTACAATCTACACTCCTGGCTGCTTCACCAGGTTGCATTTTCTTTAAACCTGGGAAAAGGTTTTAGCCTTGGGCAACAGCTGAGGGTGTGACAGTAGGACAAGAACTCGTAGTAAATGTACCTGGATTGAGCTGGAATCCATAGAGGAGTGAAATCCCATATTCCTGCCTGAGGTTCTCCGGCAGGAATAAGTGAAGCCACTGGCTGCAATAATGTTTTATTCTGGGGGGATAGATACTCAGAAGTCTGCAACAGAGCTGATTTAGTGAGAGTTGGGGAACGCTTTCCAGGTACTCTGGTTTTCTGCTTGCCAGCTCTGTCAAAATAGGTTTGGGTACAGATTTCCAGTCCTAGCGCAGCTGAAGTTTCTTTGGGAGAAATTCACCAAAGCACCAGAAAAAGGGGGTTGCAGTTTGAATTTGAGCCCACAGCTTTTCATTTTGTACCCAGCCCAAGGGCTCTATAATACCCCAAAGTCCTACAACACTCTCTTACATGAAGGATTTACTGGCAACAGAAAGTTTGTCATTAGTTCAGCTCTCTCTAAAACCTGTGAGACTTCTGAATGCTTTGTGTACTGTTTCCCTACATCCCAGCCCAAGCTCTGGGATAGTAGAAGGGTTTTGTTCTCATACTTACTAACAGGCAAGTCCCAGGCAACACAACAAACTGATACTTCAGTGGAAAGAAATAGGGTGTGTTCCATTGTCAGAACAGGACTAAAAATGGTTAGTCAAACAGGAATTTTACATTTTAGAAAAATCCTTAAGGGACCATCCACCCTTTTCTGTACAAGTAGTAATAATAATAATCAAAGAAATGCCTGTTCTTGTCAACACAGGATCCAGTTTTTCAGTTCTTGTAGGAGTAAAACCTATTGCTGTTTGGGTTTTGCATGTTTTTGGATCCCTGAGCCATTTAAGCATAAATAAATTTTATCTTGAACTTCTAAAACTGAGCTCTGAGCTTTCGTAAACCATTCTAGAGTAACAATTTGCAGTAATGAACATCTAAATTTCTAATCCTTACTTGAAACTATTCCTTAATTCAACCTTCATCTCAACCAAGATCGGGAAGGAGTGAGATGAGCCTTAGGTATCTGGTGGGTTGGGTTGTCCACAGCATCTACTTTGTGGAAAAAATTTGGTTTCATTTCCTTTCTCCCTCTGGGTCCCTTTGTGGAAGAAGCTCTTGCTCCTCAGCTGACTCCCAGCATCTAAGACTTTCCTGGAATAGTGCAGATATTACCCCATGTCTGTTATGAACTTGTGCCTTTCAGCTGAATCACAGGAATTGATCTTGTCCTGTGAGCTTGCCCCAGCTGCAAAACTTCCAGATTTAGTGGCAGTCTGGAGTAATTCAGCCACTTGTAATCCTACACCCCTATCCATGGGCAG